TGGGGCAGGCAGGCGGCCACTGCTGCCGTTGAGCTCCGCTCGAGGAGCGGGGAGGAGGAGGGGGAGGAGGAGGAGGAGGAGGAGGAGGAGGAGGAGGAGGAGGAGGAGGGGGAGGAGGAGGCGAAGGAGGAGGAGGAGGAGGAGGAGGAGGAGGAGGAGGACGAGGCGGAGGAGGAGGAGGAGGAGGAGGAGGAGGAGACCCAGCGCTGGCCCGCGCCGAAGCACACGTGTGAGCGGCAGGAGAGCTTCACCGACACGGGCGCGCAGGCTGCCCCCGCGCGAGGTCGCGCGTGAGAGCCCCTCTTTTTTCCCGCGTGCCGCGCCGCGCCGGCGGCCCGCAGAGAGGCCGCGGCGTAGGAGGTCGCCGTGCCATCTTGCGCAAGGCCTTGGCATCGCTCGGACGTGTGCATTTTTTTCTCGGCGAGGACCTTCGAGGAGCATCCTCGATCATCTGGCGAGAAAGCCACGCACGAAGCCGAAACAAAAACACAGTGAATGGACGTCCGAGCGATGGCGAGGGCCCCTCAGGGCCGTGCCGCGCCCTCCGGGGGGGGGGGGAGGCGGCCGCCGCGCGGCGCGGGAATGGTCGACGCCATGGTCGTTCTGCTCGCCGCGGTTCCGCGCGCCGTCGTGGCGCTCGTCGTCGTCGTCGTGGGTCATTTGGCCGGCGCCCGGGGCTGCGAAACCTCGGCGAGAGAGCGGCCGCGAGCTGCCCCGAGAGGCCCGGGGCCACGCCCAGGGGGCTCGGGAGGCTCTCGGGGGGCCGTGCCTGTGCTCGGGGGCGCCCTCTGCGTTTCGTCTTTTTCCGAGCAGCTTGGGGCGTGCGCGCGCGGGGAGTGCGCATGCATCGGGGGTTGCGAAAGGTGTGCCTGGCCCAAGGTGCCGCCGGCTTGTCGTTCAGCTTTGCAGCCCCTGGGGCCCCCCTGGGCCTCGTGAGGGGTGCCCTGGAGGCCCTCGGGGCCTCTTTGGAAATCCTAGGGGCGCCTTGGGCCAGGGGCACTTCGAGCAAGACCTGAATGAATTCTGCAGTCGGGACGCTGAATGTTGGACCGATGGACACTCGAGAATTCCAAGAAATCCGCGCAGACCGTCGAACGTTTATGTTTATGCTTTTGTTGTTCCTCTAAGTCTTGTGGAACGAAGCTCCGAATTGGCCTCAACAGCGCCTGCGTGGACGAGGAGCGGCAGAGAGACAGCCATGGGAGGACCTGAGGAACATCGAGCCCCTTCCGAACTGAGACTGCTTCCTTTTCAGCGTCTTGGCTACAGGCCTCCCAGACGGGGCCCGAGCAGATGGGGTCGGAGGATCGCGCCGCATCGCCGATGCATCGGCGATGCGGCTCAATGTGGAGATCGATTTTCTCAACGCCCACGTCGCCGATGTATCGCCCACGTCGCCGATGCATCGGCGATGCATCGGCGGTGCGGCGCGATCTTCCGACCCCATCTACGGACCCCACCTAGGAGGTTTCTATGCATGGTGAAGCGACACGGAAGTGGACAGCTCGTGTGTCGACTTTCCTCTCTCATCCTCTCTTTCGCCTCCTCCTCTCTCTCTTCCTCTCTTTGAGTCTCTCTCTCTCTCTCTCGCATTCCGGGGGGGCAGATCCAGAGGAGTGAGACGCGCGCAAGGACGAGAAGAGGAGGGGAGGGGCAAGTGAGGCTAACCGAGCACGGCCGCTTGGCCTCTGGCCTCGGCCCCGCCTGGAACTGCGCCTCCAGCCCCTGGCAAGGCCGTCGGCTCCACGAGCTGGCCTATGACCAGGTCCCAGTCCACCTCCTCAACCTCCTCCTCCTCTTCTTCTTCTTCTTCCTCCTCCTCCTGCTCCTCCTCCTCCTCCTGTGTTGCTGCTCAGCCTTGCGCGCGCCGCCCCGCCCAAGACGGTGAGGAAGTCCCAAGGGTTCGGGCAGTTTTCCGTTGCTGGTCCTCTTCTGATAGCCTCAGGCAGTTCTCGGGGGTGGTCCTGCGAGCAGATGGCACAGATGGAGGTGGACCCCTGTCCGTCTGGACGAGAGTCGATCAGGTGCAGCAGTTGTTTCAGCACTTCTCGGGGAACCGTCAGCGCATGGTCAGGCAGGCCTGGCCTCATGTCAGCAGCCATGCTGTGGTTTGTTCCTCTGGTCATTTTGGATCATCACCCAAGGCTTGTGTTAAGTCGGGCGTGTCCCTCTACAGGAGGAAGATGCAAAAGTAGTTCATGGTCTGGCGACGATGTTTGGATTATTTTTTGACTATCTTTGAATCTGGCTTGGACACTTTCTACTCTTCGTCCAAGGCCCGCCTGTGGGAGGACGTGCCCGACCTGAGGCTTGTGCTCGTGTGCAGCTCTTGCTCCTTCGATCGAGCCCGAGCGGCGCCGCCCCGGGCCTCGCCTGGCAACGGGCGGCTTTGGCGGGCGGGCATTCCCAGGGGCGCCCCGCCGCCCGAGGCCACGCTCAGCTGGCGGACGAGGTTCGAGTTCCACGTCAACGGCGAGCAGGTCGTCGCCGACGACGTCCAGCCGGGGGCTCATCTCGACTCCCTCGGCTCGACTCGGCTCGATATCGATCGATGTTCCGGTGCGGGTGCGATTCGGTTCCAGGTTCCGATCCGGGTCTTGGTCTCTCAATGGGGACTTTCTTAGCCCGCTAGCCTGCCGATTGCCGCCGATTCGACTTCTCCCCCGACTTGGCCGCCGATTTCCGCCGATCCCATTCGTTTCGATCGCCGATCCGATTCATCGATTCGATCCTGGGCCCTCCTCCCCTGACCATCAGAACGCATCGACGAGCGCATGCGTAGGTTCTTGGTCGTGGTCGGCCTCCGGGGCCCTCGCTGGGCCCTTGGGCCGTGCAAAGCGATGCGAGGTGCAGCACCGGCCCTGGGAAAGGGGTCGGGGTTTTTGGGAGCCCCGTCTTGGTGAAAACGATACGTTCGATCTCAGGGGGTGCGCCCATCGCTGGCCGCCAGAGCGAGAGACCTCGCATGATTCGGGAAGCTCGAGAGGTCCTGCGACACGATCGCGCGTCACATGCCCTCCCCATGCATGTTCGTCTCTCTTCCTTTCGTCCTTCCATCTTTTCAGTTGTCCTCCTCTTCCCTTTCCCATGCCTTCTCCTCCGCTCACCTCTCCCTCCTCATCATCCCTCTCACCTTTCCTCCACCTGCTCCCGATTCTCCGCCTGGCCAGTTTTGGTACTAGCATTCTATGGGGTGCTCTGGGCTTGTCTCGGGCCCGTGCGCTGGGACGTGATACGGCCGCCAGGGCCACTGACGAGTATGAGAAGCAGTTGCCTGGGAAGGGCGACTCGTCAGATGATTATTTCAGTGCCTGAGTTTTCAGGGTCGGAATAACGAAGTTATTGCTTGGCACAAATCCGCCCGCGCTGTGAACGACCCCCGCGGCTGGCCGCGGGGGCGCCCTCGCTCGGCTGGTCGGCCGCGCGCTGGTCGACCCTCTTCCGCCTCCCGCTCGCGTCGTGTGGTGCAGTGCCGTGCCGTGCTTCCTCCGCCTGGCACTGGGGCGGGATATAAATACCGTGCCGTGTGTCGGGTTTCGGCCCTCCGCCCTCTGGGGGCTTCGCTCGGCCCATAGTGGCTTCCTTGCGGCCCATAGTGGCTTCGTTGCGGCCCATAGCGGCCTGCTGCGTTCACGTGCCCAATGGGGCCCTCTCTTCTGGTCCATAGTGACCACGAGCTGTCGTTGGCACGCTCTCATTCGTCACCATGGCGCGCTGGCATGCAAGCGAGCGGGCTTCAGCTGGCGTGGTTCTCGCTCGTGCCCCGTGGCGCTGTGATTGCGATGGCGATGCTTGCCTTCTTGCAGTCTGACCCTGTTGTGGGCGCGAAGTGGACTGATATCCAGTTCAAGGGCGCCATTGATTGCCTGGCAGCCAATGGGCTGACGATGCCAGAAGAATTGGCCAATCTTCAATTCGGCGATTTGAAGGATGCCGATGGCGCGACGGCGCTGACGAAGGGCGTCCTGCGGCGCGCTCTGGATCGCGCGACGGTGGCGGCAGCCAAGGCGTGTGCGCCGGGTGCCGCGGGGCCTGCGCCGGCTTCGGCGGGTCGTTTCGGTTCGGTTGCTGCAGAATCCTGGGCTCCCGCCGAAGGGAGAGCATGTCGACATCGGCGCTGGCCTGGCCCAGATCAGCTTGAGGGACCTTCCGGAGTCCCTGTGGCCGAGGCTGCCGCGCGGCTTCGCCCCGGCGCGCTGGCGCGTTTCCATCGTTCGCTCAGGTCAGCGAAGACCGATGCGCTGGCCACCGAGGTGCAGCGCGCGAAATCCAGGGGAATCGCGCGCCCGTTCATTTATACTGAGCTCGCGAAGTTCCAGCCGCTTTGCGCGCGCGGCGCGGGCGGCTCTCCCGACGATGACGAGCCCGAGTCGAAAGAGGCGGCCGCGTTGGCCAGAGCGTTCGGACGGGGAACCGCGGCGGAGAGCCAGCCGCTTCTGGCGTGGACGCCATGGCACCAAGCTTACGACGCGTGGAGCGTGGCGGCCGCGGTCACTGATCAGATTTCGTACACGAGCGCCATGGCTCACAAACACGTTGTTCTCCAGGCGAGTCGACATTGGCGCCCGTCCGCTGGTCGCCGAAGTGGGCGCGCTTGCCCAGGTTGCACTGGATGCCCCCCTGCAGGGACGGAAGGCCCAGGTTGCCTTGGTCTACGACCGCCTTGTGCGGAGGACGTGGGCCGAGCGTGCCGCCGCCGGCGCGGCAGGCTTCCAGGCCGCAGCTCCGCGCCATGCTTCGGCGCGTTATTCTCGGGCGCGCGTCGGCGCGCAGGTGAACGTTGCGGCGCTGTCGCTTGACGTCGGGCTGCTCCGCGCGGCGGAAGCGGAATATGATCGGGCTCTTAAGGCCGCGTCGCCGAATCCCTTGTTCGCGTTGCGCCACCGCTGTCGCGCAGGTTGCCGCGCCGGCCGGCAAGGGTGCAGGGAAAAGCGCCGCGGCAGCGCGCGGGCAGAGTGCGAGCGCCGCGAGCGCCGCGGGCGCCGTGGGAGCCGCGGGGGGCGCCGCCGTCACTTCCTGGAAGAACGACCGCGATTCCAGAGCCGACGGGTGGCAGTCCCGATCCTATCGCGGGGATTACAACAAGCGCTCCTGGGATTCGCGAACGGTGTATTCTCCTCAGAAGAAGCCGCGCGCCTGACGCCCGCCGGAGGCACGCGCAGCCCGCGGCGCGCGGCGATGTGCGGGACGCGCGCCGATGAGGACGTGCATCGCGCGCCACGTTGGCATTTGAATAACAACGAATGGGCGCCAACCTCAGCCACCGTCCCGTGGGACCCGCAGGCGCGCGCGCGCGCGCTGGCAGGAGGGCGCCGCGTTGTTGCCGCGTCGTCCAGGGCTTGGGTGCCAGTCAACACTCGCGGTCCGTTCGCGACGCGAGGGCCGCCCGCCCGCTGGGCCAGGAGGCGCGCGAACGCCCCCGGCAGGCTCGAGCGCTCGCGCTCGCAAAGCGCAGGATGCGATGGGGCCCAGTATCGCTGCCACATGGGATTATCAGGCGCTGCGCGTTGTGGCGCGCGACGCTCGCGGGCTCGCGCGCCCGGCAGAATGCTGCCTCGAGTTGCAATGCACGCGGTTGCGCGCTGGCCACTGCCGGCTGCTGTCACCTGCCGTCGCCTGCGTCTGCTGAGGAAGCGCCTAAGCTCGCCTTTCTTGAAGAGGTCCTCTCCCGTTCTCACTCCTTCGAGGACAAAGAGGCCTTTGAAAAGGCCGTGGTGGTGCCCGGCGATGTTTTGGCGGCGATCGATTGGATTGCTGCGCGCTCGGAGCGGCAGGTGTGCCGTGAGCGGCGAGCGACTCTCGAGCGAATTCGGGCCAGGGACGCCGAGCTACGCGCCTCTGGAGCGACGGCGGCCTGGTTCGCGGGCTGCGATGCCCATGTGCGCACAATCGCAGGGTCGATCAACGGCCCTCTTCTCGTCGAACTGCTCGACGAAATCGGGTACGAGGACGCGGCCTGCGTGGAAGTCTTTCGGCGCGGCGCGCCTCTCGTGGGCCCTCTCCCGTGCACGGGGAACGGGCGTCCGGAATCTTTCCCTGTACCGCTCAGCCTGCCGGACTTGGCCGCGGGCGCGGAGCGAGGCAACGCCGCGCTGCTCGGCACGCTCAAGGAGTCTAGCGACTCCGCCGTGATTCTCACCAAAACTATCGCCGAAGCGGAGCTCGGCCGAATGAGCCATCCCGCGCCGCTCAGCGCGGTCGAGCTCGACGGTGCGGTTTTGTCGCCGCGGTTCGGCGTCCGGCAGTCGAGAGAGGACGGGTCCGAGAAGCTGCGGCTCGTAGATGATATGTCGCGCTCTCGTATCAACGCGGCGTCGCAGCCGACGGAGCGTCTCGGCCATGAAGCCATCGACGCTCTGTTTGGCACTTGCAAGGCATTTGTGACGCGCGTGGGCGAAGCGCCCGGGCTCTGGAAGGCGGACATAGACGCCGCGTTCCGGCGCGTGCCGCTGTTGCCGGAACATCGCGCCCTCGCATGGGTCGCGTTCCTCGTGGGCACATGCGTCTACGTGGCTCAGCACTTCGCCGCCCCATTCGGAGCGACTTCCTCCGTTCACAGCTGGGAGCGCATCGGCGCGATGCTGTCAGCGCTGGGCCGCAGGCTCATTTTCGTCCCCGTCCTCAGATATGTGGACGACTTCTTCTGCCCCGAACGTAAGAAAGGGCTGCGCGACGCAATGCGACAGTTCGCCGAACTGGTAAGAATCATTCTGGGCCCGAGCGCTGTGGCCGACGGTAAGCTGCTGTTCGGCAATCCGCTCGGGGTCCTGGGCTTGTCTGTGGCGATTGACGAGCGTGGCCTCGTGTGCTGGCCGCTGCCGGAGAAGCGCGCCCGGTGGCGCGCCGAGATCGCTGCTGCTCTTCAAGAGGGCGCGCTCGAGCGCGGGCGCGCGTCCAAGTTGGCAGGCCGCTTCTGTTGGGCTGCCTCCCACACCTTCGGGCGGTTCGGGCGCGCGCTGCTCCCGCCGTTGTTTGAGCACGCAAGGGCGCGCCATCCTAGTATCCCGGCGCACCTGCGAGTCTGCCTGCAATGGTGGCACGAAGCGCTCGCCAGAAATTTCACCACGACGCGGGAGTGGCAGGCGCCAGACACCAGGTCTGTCCAATTGCTCTCCGACGCGCGGGGGAATCCAGCTAGAGTGGCCGCGGTTCTTTTCATTGACGGGCGCATTGTCTTCACCGATGTCGCCCCGCCTGAGCCTCTGCTTCGGCTCTTCAGGGAAAGGCGCGACAATCAAATCGGCGGTCTGGAGGTGCTCAGCATCGCGCTGGGCCTGGCCACCTTTGAGCCGCTCCTGTCGGGCCGATGCGTGAACATCTTTTCGGATAATTCAGGCAGCGAGTGGGCCGTCCGGTCCGGTGCGGCGAAGCAGTTTGACCACAATTGCCTGGTCCACTCAATCTGGCGCATGGCGCTGGATGCGAATTGCAATCTGCACGTTCAGCGTGTGGCGTCGGTGGACAACATCGCCGACCTGCCGTCGCGCGAGTCATATTCCC